ATATACTTTAGAAGTACAAAATATATATATAATTTAGAAGTACAATATATATATAATTCAAAAGTATATATATATATAATTTAGCGTCCTAGCTCAAAATGAGCGCTTTCAAAAATATGTATAAAAAACAATTATCACGTGTATTTCCACAATTTATATAGGTGCATAGCACACGAACATTTAAGTTGCTTACTTTAACCCTATTTTCATCGCTTTATTACGTGTTATGAGCCATGACATTTTAAAAGTCTTTAATACAAGTAATAAAAACAAATTTGCAAAAATTGAGTATGATGTAGGGATGAATACATAAAAACCATATAAAAATCGCTACATAAGTAGTCACTGAGTCAATGTTACAATCTTATGGTTATTAACTACTGTGAGACTGTATAGTGCTATTCAGTTTAAATGCTTTTATTCAAACCTGAATTCATGCAACTGACAGGAAGTCTACACTTAGTTGTAAATACAAGTTATCCTTGGAAAGATTTGATTACTTATATAGTGATTTTTGTCTGGTTTTGTGTATTCATTCCTACCTTGTTTTTGTATGGTTTTGTGTATTCATTCCTACCTTGTTTTTGTCTGGTTTTGTGTATTCATTCCTACCTTGTTTTTGTATGGTTTTGTGTATTCATCCCTACCTTGTTTTTGTATGATTTTGTGTATTCATTCCTACCTTGTTTTTGTATGGTTTTGTGTATTCATTCCTACCTTGTTTTTGTACTTTTTGACATTGCCATTCCTACCTCTTACTTAATTTTTGCAATTATTTATTACTTGTTTCCTCTCTTTTTTTAAAACAAGTTCATTGAAGTGGGTTAATAAATGAACTTTTTTTTTATAATTCAATGGTAATATATATTGTTAATGTCATATCAGTTTTGTCACTTTCTGTAATTGCTCTTGTAGAATGACCTCAGGCACTGATATTATACCATATAATTGGCTACAATAAATTATTAATCATAACTGGTCATAATCTTGACTTCTTAGCACTTAATGGTGAGGAACCTACAGTATGGAAAGAACATACAAAAATGTGTAGCTGTATCATCCCTATATTCATGTTTACATTCTGCACTGCCATTCCTACATCATTTTACATTTACAAAATGTTTTTATTATTTGTTTTGTGACGATTTTTCCCCCTGACTGAAAGTTAGTATATTCTATGAATGTGTGTAATAAAATTTATAATTATGCGTATTGATATTTTTTTTACTCTATCAATTCATACATAATATAGTGATTAGCCCCTTATAGATACTGATTGTATAGTGTATAAAGTATTGAGCATCCTACATGTTACAGTCATCTAATGTTCATTTGTTATTGGCTGGTAATTCCTGTTTAACCCTGTACTTTAGCTTTTTAAAAAGAATACCAGATTTCTGTAAGAAAATTAACTTCAAGGTGTAATGATAATATCGTTTACACTAGGATAATGATATTTTTTTAGTTTATGTTAAGAATGTGTTTCTTTCATAGTCCAGCGCCTCCCAGTGGCACAGCGGTATGTCTACAGACTTACAACGCTAAAAACTGGGTTTCGATACCCGTGGTGGGCAAAGCACAGATAGCCCATTGTGTGGCTTTGTGCTTAACTTCAAACAAACAAGCAAACAAATCATAGTCCAGCCCAACTGAAGGGTTAAAGAAAATAGCATGTGCAATTAATGTGATTTTTATCACAAATTTAGAGTTATTATTGTTTGAATCCGGCCCTAAACAGCAATTTTAGTATTATTGAATTACAGTCATATAAATCTGTTTTAGCATTCTTGAACTATAATCATATAAACCTGTTTTAGTATTGTTGGACGCTAGTCACCTTCATCTTTTTTGAAAATGTTGAATTCAACTATCGCTGGCTTTCTTAAAGTAAATATTGAAATTTATTGAACACACACTTAAGATGTAATGAGAAATTATCTGATGTAAAGTTTCTATATATTTTGGATGAGGGTTTCGGATCTGGCATCCTTGATTCGAATCTGTGCGATACTGTAAAATAGTCTTCACACTTTAAGCTTTGGGTGCGTTTTAAGAGGGTGGTAGGGTGCAACTGTACTGATTGCTTAGTAGTTCAAAATTAGGGTCGGTGACAGATAGCCTTGGTTGTCGTATATGCAAAATAAGTAATGTATTATGCGTCAGAAACATATTTAATTACTTTTCTTCCTTTAAGTTTTTATACTACAGTTAATGAACACAATTTTCTTTGCGTATTTTCAAACTACATAAACATTTCCACGAATTAATTTGACTTCGAAATCAATATTTAAGCGGAGTTAGTGTCTAATTCCAAGCCCTCTGGTGGCTCAGCGGTAAGTTTGAGGGTTTATAACGCTACAAATCTGGTTCCTAGACCCGAGGTGGAAATAGGCAGATAGCCCATTGTGTAGCTTTCTGTTTTACAACAAACAAACAAAATATAATTTTAAAGGAATAAAAATGAATCGCTATCTTTGTTGCTCTAAATAACAAGAGATGAACTTCATTAAGTTTGTTTCCAGATTTTCATCTGCTTTTTGTTGTGATTTTCCTTATATTTCACATCAGAGAAGACAAAACGTTATCATCCATCTTGTGAAAACTACTAACGACCTAAGACGTAGCCCTTTAAATATATTTTTACATCATAGTCAAGTTCAACGACTTTTTGACCCAGTTTTATTGGTAAACCACCAATTGTTTAGTTCCTTGACCTTTCTTCATACTTGTTGTAACAAACACTAACCTAGTAATGTATATCGGTCATTACTTTAAACTACTACGCATAACAAGCGCAGGCACCGAATATAGCATGACAGTTTTCTGCGTATAAAAAAAAATGCTGATTTTCTATAATATATAATCAAGAAAAAGAAATTGTCCCCTGTAAAACATGTTTTAAACTTGAATTAATTTTCCTGGAAATCAAAAAATGTAATTTTATATAAGCTTGGAAACTTACGACGTATTGTACTATTATGCCTTGTCCTTCGCTGGAATAAGTTGTTACATAATTCATCGGACTAAATTATCATTCAGCACTAATTGTCAACACATAATTTATAAAATAACTTATAAAGATGAAACTAAAAAGGTTTAGCCAACCGAAGAGCTTGATCTTTAAAATATCGAGCGATTAATAAATAAATTCTACCAAAAATCTATTGAGATATCTAAGGAAGAGGAAACAATTTTAGGTAAATAATTATCCGTCAAGAAATGAAATGATGAGAAGTTGAAGTAAGTCCGTTAAATATCATCAAGAGATGTAAGGGTAACGAAAGAGATTAAAACAAATCCTGCTAAAGATCACCATGAGATGAAATGATGACAAAAGAAGTTGAAGTGAATTCGCTAAAGATCATCAAGAGTGTAACTGTAGAGATTTAAATAATCCTGCTTAAGATCATCAAGAGACGAAATGATGACAGAAGAAGTTGAAGTGCAAGCAGTAAAACTGAGAGAATCCCTCATTTGTGGATTTTCAAATTACGCTTTTTTCTTAATAAAACGCACTAGTGATAAAAACTATTGACCCCAGTGGCACACCGGTATGTCTGCGGACTTACAACGCTGGAAACCGGATTTCGATACCCGTGGTGAGAATAGCACAGATAGCCCTTTGTGTAGCTTTGTGCTTAACTATAAAGAAACAAAGATAAAAACTACAGATAAAAACAGATTTTACGCTATAACTGAATTGATGAAATTCATCTTTGTAAGTAACCATCTGCCCTGTTCTCGTTATTCTTGAATATTTTACTTTCATGACGGGTATGCTCTCGTTCTAATTCATAAAAGATAATTATTAGTATAAAATGCTGAGCAACGTCGTAAATAGGGCGAGGTGAGTGGGGCAGCCGCACTGCTCAAAGCGGTGGGCGTGGCAAAATGGTTTATAACGGAACTCACAAAGGCAGGGAAAGGATGATGACCTACTGCTCTTGTGCAAAATCGCTTAGTTACGGCTCTAATGCTGGGAGATTTTCTTAGATATTTATCGAGAATAACTTTGATAATTTTTCATGTACATATTGGTTAAGTGGCTGAGAAATAAACATACATTACAAGTTTTGAATTCCTTTTGTAATGATCTTTTAATCTTCTATTCGTAACTACAAAAACTGTTAATTATTTACCAATGTACACATTTCTCTTAAACAGCATTTTGTGAATATCAATAAATTCTAGGCTAACATAGAAATTAACCTTAATTGATTAAACACCTGCTGTTCTATGTAAGATGTAACTGTTTCTTTATTCTAGCTTTTGTCCTTCAAAAATAGAAACTTAACTTATTCAGAATGTCCTAAAATATGACTCCCAGGTAGTTCACGCCTGGTTCTATTGTTAGTAACTTATCATATTTAGGACATGGTTCTATTGTTAGTAACTTGACGTGAACTACCTGGGAATCATATTTTAGGACATGGTTCTATTGTTAGTAACTTGACGTGAACTACCTGAAGATCATATTTAGGACAGACGTGAACTACCTGAAGAAAGTTACTAACAATAGAACCA